TTAGCTCAGTTGGTTAGAGCATGGTGTCGATAACAGCAAGGTCAAGGGTTTAGATTCCTGTATCCCCCACCACACAGACCCAGTAGGCTGCAGCCACAACTGCACCTGCCAGCACCCCCCAGAACTACTGAGTTTCTTGGAACTGCTGAGTCTACCCAGGACAAACGCTAAAACACCCCATCCCAATTGGCAATATAAAACAAATCTCCAGGAGGGAGTCTCTTTCCTCACAAGCTACCCCAGAATAATAAAAGAAACAACTGCTCCACTGGATCAGACTTCAACATAGGGATAGTAGAAATATGAAAAAATGAGAAAATATGGCAGCACCAAAGGAATACAATAATTCTAAAATACCAGACCCCAAACAACAGGAAACCCTTGAGATGTCTGAAAAGGAATTCCAAGTAATAACCTTTAGCAAACTCACTGCTATACAAGAAGACTAAGACAAGCCAGCCACCAAAAAAAAAAAAAAAAAAAAAAAAATTCTGGGAAATGAATGGGGATGTTCTGTTGTATGTGTTGACACCTGAGAATCTAGCCTGAGCCAGTGTGGTCACCATCACCTCACTTTCTGAGGTCAAAAAGATGACCAGCTGCCCAATTTTCTCAAGAAGGCGTACCACCCAACCTCTCCCCTGTCTTTGGGGTTATCCATACCTTGAGTTTGTCAACGGATGGAAAAAGTCAAATGAGTCCTGGCTCAAGGCAGGGAGCTGGGCTGGTCCCTCAAGGCAGGAACTCAAAGGAGTGGCCACTAAGCCTGAGGAAGCTGATATGAGACCGCAGAGGTTGGGGATGAGTCTTGCTCACAGTCAGGAGTCCTCTAGCCTGACAGCTTACCATATGCCAGGCACTGTGCTCGGCAAGGCAGAGAGTGATGAATAAAAAAGAAATGGTCCCTCTTCCAGTGGGGCTCACAGTCTAGGTGGAGCCAGTCATTGGACAACTCATTACACTGAAGTGTAATGCCAATATCTAGAACAGTGGCACCTATAAGCATCCCCTATTTGTTGAATAAATGGTTGAGTACTATGATGGGAGATGAAGAGGGCACTACAGGAGCCTGGGCCTTACTCCAGCCCAGACATCAGTGAAGGCCTGTCTGAGTTGAGAACACAACTCTCCTTGGACCACCCTTTCAACTCCCCCTCCATCTCAGAGGATTTCTCTTCCTAACTCACAGAGGACAGGGAAGCCATCAGTTGGGGAAAATCCTCAGATACACAAACTTACCAACTTCAGCACCTATCCTTTTCTCTCCTTCTTCCTAAAACCAATTGCTTTACCTATAATTTGGATCTTTCCTGTCATGCCTTTCTAGGAATCTTATACCACTGATTATCCACTTTCTCTTCTATATAATCAACCTCTCTTTTTCAATGGGATCCACCACCTCTCAACTTGAAAATATTTATTGACCTGACACTCCTCCAGGGCCACTCACTGCTCTCTTTTCTCCCCTACACAGGCAAACTTCTTGAAAAAGTTGTCTCTACTCACTGTTGCCACTTCCTCACCTCCATTCACTCCTCAGCCCTTTCCAATCCAGCTTCCACTCCCAACACAACTCAGTAACAGCTCCTACTAAGGTCACATGACCCCCATGTCATTTAAGCCAAGGACACTTCCAGTCCTCATTTTGGTTGTGCTCTCAGCAGCATCTGACCCCACAAACCTCTCATCCAACTGTCATCTTTGGCTCCCACGCTCTACATTTCCTGGTTTACTTCCTACACTTCTTGTTACTGTATGTTGGCTTCTTAGACTCCTTGGCTAGGTCATCTTCCTCTACTAGACAGCCATCAGATGCTGGAGTTTCTCACGGACTGTTCTTATGCCCTTTTCCCGTTCTCATCCTGTACTCGATACAGGTATTCATTCATACCCACAGCTTCAGTTATCACCTGTACACTGATGATTTTCAAATTTACATCTCCATTTTAGATCCCTCATCTGAGCTCCAGCATGTATATTCAGCTGTCTACTCAACATCTCCACATGGATGTTTCAAAGGCCTCTCAAACTAATATACCCACTCGTATTTCTCACTCCCACTCCCTAATTGGTCCTCTTTCAGTATCCTGGCTCATGGAATGATACGACCACCCACCCTGTCGTGCAAACCAGAAGTAGAGGAACCATCCCTGATACATCCTTCTCCCTCACTCCCTATATTCAATCCATCCCTGATAATTTTCTCTTCAAGAAAAATGCATGGACTTCATCTACTCTCCACATCCACTACACCAAGGACAAATACCTTAAGTACAAAAATTCTTAACATGCCTTGAATTGTCCTGCTCAGTCTGGTTCCTGCCTTCGTCCTCCCTGCCCCCAGCTTTGGTCACTCTGCTCTCCAGCCTCAATGGCCTTCTTTTCATTCCTCAAAGTCATGCTCTCTCCTTCTACAAGGATTTTGCACATGATTTCCCTTCTGCTTGAGTCCTTCTTCCCCTACTCTCTCAGCCTAATTAACTCCTACTCATCCTTTACATCATAGTTTAAATGTCACGTTCTCAGAGACGCCTTCCTCGACCCTCTCTCCCTACCCCAAGACCAGTTTAGCTTCTGCTCTTGTGTGTTCTCAAGGCACCATACTGCTTTCCTTCATGGTATTTATTACATTTGTAATGTTATTCTTCTTTGATTTCCCTCATAGATTGTCAGCTCCATGGGGAGAAGGACCTGGTCTATTTTTCTCATAATTATATCTTCAGGATCCAACACAGTGCCTGTTATATATGAGGTGCTCAAATAATATTTGTTGAATGAATAAATGATAAGATGCATTGTTTTAAAGGATCACTCTGGGTGCTGTGTTGAGAACAGTTAAGGGGAAGGTCAGCAAGACAGCATGCTATTAGATCAGTCAAGGAGAAAAACAGTGGTGGCCTAGATTAAGTATGATAGCAGTAGGGATGGAGTAAAACAAATGGATTTGAGAAATATTTAGCCAGTGGACACGATAGGGTGAGAAACAGAGGTTAATCTAGAATGCTGCCCAACATTTCTGAGATTTGAAGGAAGAACAGATTTGGAAGTACGGTGGAGAAGGAACAGGGAAAGAAAATTCAGCTTGGAATCTGTAGGTTTGTAATTTCTGTTGGACTTCCAAGGGGATGTCAAGAGGACAGTTGGATATATGAATCCAGATTTCAGGAAGGAGGTCTGGGCTGGATAAACAGATTTGGGAATCATCAGCATATATATGAAATTCGAAGGCTTGGGAGTGAATAAAATACCCCAGGAGGAAGGGCAGAATGAGAAAAGACAGACCCAAGAGCCTCACCAGCGTCTAAGGAGAGGAGAAGGAGAGAGCAAATGAGATTAAGAAGGAGCAGACCATGCCATAGGAGAGAAACTAGGAAAATGCTTCAAGGAGAATGAATTGACATACCACCAAATACCACTAAAAGGTAAAGGGGATAAGAAGTGGTGTCCATTAGTTTGCCACAGAGGTCTCAGGTGACCTTGGCGTGGGCAGTTTCAGTGGGTGTCAGAGACAGAAGACAGTTGAGTGTTTATAAGAATGAATGCGAAGTGAGGAAATGAAGACGGCAAGTGTAGGCGAGGTTTTGGCTTTGAAAGACGGAGAAAGCTGGGACTATAGCTGGAGGTGCTCAGAATGCAACAGACAGGCAGGTTCAAAATTGGCTGGAATAACCTCTGAATTGGCGGTGGGAGAATTGCTTCTAATAAGTGCTCTTGCGAGTGCTAGGCCTCCAGGCTGAGCTGGGGACACAGCCGGCCCCAGTCACACCCCTCGGCCGCTCTGACAGAAACAGAATGCGGCTTGACAGATTCTTCAGTTATCACCTGTACACTGATGATTTTCAAATTTACATCTCCATTTTAGATCCCTCATCTGAGCTCCAGCATGTATATTCAGCTGTCTACTCAACATCTCCACATGGATGTTTCAAAGGCCTCTCAAACTAATATACCCACTCGTATTTCTCACTCCCACTCCCTAATTGGTCCTCTTTCAGTATCCTGGCTCATGGAATGATACGACCACCCACCCTGTCGTGCAAACCAGAAGTAGAGGAACCATCCCTGATACATCCTTCTCCCTCACTCCCTATATTCAATCCATCCCTGATAATTTTCTCTTCAAGAAAAATGCATGGACTTCATCTACTCTCCACATCCACTACACCAAGGAAAAATACCTTAAGTACAAAAATTCTTAACATGCCTTGAATTGTCCTGCTCAGTCTGGTTCCTGCCTTCGTCCTCCCTGCCCCCAGCTTTGGTCACTCTGCTCTCCAGCCTCAATGGCCTTCTTTTCATTCCTCAAAGTCATGCTCTCTCCTTCTACAAGGATTTTGCACATGATTTCCCTTCTGCTTGAGTCCTTCTTCCCCTACTCTCTCAGCCTAATTAACTCCTACTCATCCTTTACATCATAGTTTAAATGTCACGTTCTCAGAGACGCCTTCCTCGACCCTCTCTCCCTACCCCAAGACCAGTTTAGCTTCTGCTCTTGTGTGTTCTCAAGGCACCATACTGCTTTCCTTCATGGTATTTATTACATTTGTAATGTTATTCTTCTTTGATTTCCCTCATAGATTGTCAGCTCCATGGGGAGAAGGACCTGGTCTATTTTTCTCATAATTATATCTTCAGGATCCAACACAGTGCCTGTTATATATGAGGTGCTCAAATAATATTTGTTGAATGAATAAATGATAAGATGCATTGTTTTAAAGGATCACTCTGGGTGCTGTGTTGAGAACAGTTAAGGGGAAGGTCAGCAAGACAGCATGCTATTAGATCAGTCAAGGAGAAAAACAGTGGTGGCCTAGATTAAGTCTGATAGCAGTAGGGATGGAGTAAAACAAATGGATTTGAGAAATATTTAGCCAGTGGACACGATAGGGTGAGAAACAGAGGTTAATCTAGAATGCTGCCCAACATTTCTGAGATTTGAAGGAAGAACAGATTTGGAAGTACGGTGGAGAAGGAACAGGGAAAGAAAATTCAGCGCAGCTCCACTCCACCCATCCCAACCAATGACAGCACCAGCTATAGGCTTGAAGCCAGAACCTTCATAGTCATCGTTTAATGTACTTTCAGTTGACTTGAGGTGAATATAAATGTTTTAACTTTTTATTATGGAAAGTTTCAAATATACACAAAAGTAGACAGAATAGTGTAATGAACCCTTATGTACCCATCACTCAGTTTCAATAATTATCGACTCGTGGCCAAGAGTTTATAATGATTTGACAAACACTTATGTGAACCATGTACCAGGCCCCAAGGCAGGCCCTAGGGATTTGAGGAAGAATCCAATGAGCAAGAGTTACCCAGAAAAAGAAAGATATCTTCATTCATTTATTCATTCTCTTTTAATAAAGAATTATTATGTTTGAGGTACTATCCTTGGTGCTAGGAGTACATAAAAAAAAAAAAAAAGATATAGTTCCCACCTTCATTCAGCTGAAATGTAACAGGGGGAAAGATATGTCTCTTTTAATAAAGAATTATTATGTTTGAGGTACTATCCTTGGTGCTAGGAGTACATTAAAAAAAAAAAAGATATAGTTCCCACCTTCATTCAGCTGAAATGTAACAGGGGGAAAGATATTAAACATGTAATTAGAAATATGATGTGTATATTGAAGAAGGTGTACAGGGCACAGTGTTAGTGGGCTTAATTTGGCCTGGGAGAGAGTTCAGAGGCTTTCACAGGAACTGACACTTGAGTGAGGGGAAGGGATGAAGTAGGAAGAGGTCAGCCAGGAGAAGAGAAGATTATTCCAAGTAGCAGGAGAAGTACAGGAAGGCTAGTATGGGTGTGAGTGGAGAAGAATGGCATAAGGTGAACTGAAAGGGTGGGAGGTGCCAAATCAAGGAGGGCCTTATATGCTAGGCCCAGGGTTTTAAACTTTATTTTAAGGGCTATGGAATATCACTGACAGGTTTGAAGTAGTAGAGTGACATTTTAGAAGATCAATTCTGGGGGCTGGCCATTAACTCATTCAATTAGAGCATGGTGCTGATAACACCTAGGTCAGGGTTTGGATCCCCCTACTCACCAGCTGCCAAAAAAATAAAAAAGATCACTTCTGGCTGCTGAGGGAGAATAGATAGGAGAAAAGCAAAACTGGAAGTGTGAAGACCCACTAAGAAGCAATTAGTGGTCTAGGTAGAAGATGGTGATGGCTTGGACTACAGTGGTGGAACTAGAAATGGGGAAAATTATATAGGTTTAATAAATATCCAGGAGGCAGAATTTGCAGCAATTAGTGATCAATTGATTGAGTGGCTATGGAATTGTGGAGAAAAGGACAACTTCCAGATTATTGCTTGAGCAAATGAAAAAATCCAGAAATATCACCGATTTACAGATAGTCCATCAGAGTGCTTGTCTACCCAATCCCATTGAGCAGGAAGGCTGCAGTATTCAGGAAAATCTCTTCAGGTAACCAGAGGGAAACAGCATGATGAGGATGGGGAGAGGAGTCTAAATAGCTAGGATGCAAAAAGGAAGATGTGCAGTTCACATAGGTATCTTGTTCCTGATATATTTGACCCACACACAGGCTTTCTGAATTCCCGATCTCCTAGGTCTGCAGAGCCTCCTGACCAGTGGGAAATCAACCTGTGACCTTCACGCATCCTTTCTCTACTGTTATGTCTTCCCCCTTCTGATGCTGTCTATGATGTAGGAGAAACCAATAGCCTATGAAGCACCTCAGACGTTTAGGGAGCCAGCAAAGGAAGAGAAGGCCAAGAAGAAAGCTGAGAAGAAATAGAAAGGTAAGAAAAGAATTGGGAGAGAGTAATGTCATGGAAGAAAGCCAAGGGAGAAAAGACTTTCAAGGAGGAAGAAGTGGTCAACACCATGAAATGCAGCAAAGATTTTCAATAAGGTCAGGCATCCCCACAATATGATCTGCATCAGCAGAAAATAGAGCAGGAGCCACAGTGCAATGAATTGAGCAAATGGAAAATGAGGAAGTAGATGAATAAGTACAGAACCCTCTTTTGAGAAATTTGAAAAAAGAGTAGACAATAGCTGGAAAGTGATATGAAGTTAAAGATTCTATTTTTATCTTCTTTTTAAAGATGGTAGAGACTTGAACATGGGTATAAACTACCAAAAGATACCAGTAGAGAAAATGGATTTGAAAATAAAGAAAAAAGATTAGAGACAGAGCAGGATCCTGGAGGTGATGTGAGAGGGTGGGATCAAGGACTCATGCAGAGGAATTGAACACCTTAACTTTACAGACTGAAGGGCTAGAAGTGAGGATAAGGGTGTATGTAGGGCAGTTTAAAAGGTTGGAGCAGGGAAGAGGTTGAGGTATTTCATGCCTGGTGATATCAATATTTACAAAGTCTTTAGCTGAGGAAGGGAAGGAGGGTTGGATGGGGAACAAGGAAACCTCACAAGATGAGTAGTATCCTGTCTTGAATATCTGTTGTTGCCATTGTCGTTGTTACTTGCCCAGCATCCATTTCCCATTTTACTGGTAACAGCACACTGGTTTTCTTGGGAGACTGTGACATTATGATTTATGTATTGGTTTTTGAGCATGGTTCCTGGCTCATGCTTCTTTCTGACCTTCTGTCCTCCTTTCACCTGCTCCTTTTTCTCCCCGAGGCAGGAAATTCTCTGACCTACCCTAGCTGACTGTACATCCTAAGACCCCATTTCAGAAGGGGTCCTGCCTCATGCCCGGGAGGAAGGAATGCTGTATCAAGATGTCAAGAAGAACCTGAATAAGCAGGTCTTGCCGGGGTTCCCCATCCAGTCCGTTAGTGTTAGATCACACCCTTTTTGTCCAACCACATTTCTATATGTCCATGATTCAATCATGCCTGGTATCTTCATGTTTTAATGAAGCTTCCTTTAAAACCCACACACAGGGTTTGGAGAGCTTTCGGATAGCTGAACATGTGAAGGTTCCTGGAGGGTGGCATGACTGGGGAGAGCATGGAAGCCCCACACCCCTTCCCCCGTACCTCGCTTTATGAATCTCTTCATCTGTATTCTTTGTAATATGCTTTATAATAAATGGGTAAATGTGTTTCTCTGAGTTCTGTGAGCCACTCAGCAAATCAACTGAACCCAAAGAGATAGTTATGGGGATCCTGATTTATAGCTGGTTGGTCCAAAGTTCCAGGGGCCTGGACTGGCAACTGGCATCTGAAGTGTGGGGCAGCTTTGGGGACTGAGCCTTTAACCTGTGGGATCTGATGCTATCTACAGGTAGATAGTGTCAGAATTGAATTGCAGGACACCCAGCTGTTGTCTGCTGGAGAACTGCTTGCTTGCTTACCAATGGGAAGAGATCCCCACACACTTGGACACAGAAGTCAGTCTTCTGTGACGATTGTGTTGTGAGAGCAGAAGAAAGGCAGTGTGTGTTTTTCTGTCATACTCACACATCTCCTTCCCACTCTTATTCCATGTGGTTCAGATGAGAATTATCTCAGTCCCACAATCCACTTCCGTGGTGGGATCTTAACCCAGGATTGGCCTATCAGTCAAAGTGATTGATTCAAAGATGGGCACATGACTAAATATGAGCCAATGAAAGTTAGATTCAGGAATTTTCCTGGAACTATCAGGTGAGAGGTGCTGGTAGAATGTAAGCCTGGTAGATATCTTACCACCAGGGAGAATGAGCCTTCCTGAGAATGAAGCCAACTCAAAGAAACCAGAGCTGAGGGATGGAGAGAAACAGATGCCTGATAGCATCAATTTAGCAGCTATATTTACCTCTGCATGAAGTAAAAATCTGCCTGCAGATATTCAGCTACACCACTTTAAGTTGGATTTTATCACTTGCAACCAAGAATATGATGAATATGAATGCATGTAGCAGATATTGCCTGTTGGTACTCATTTCCACATCCACTCTTCCGTAATCTCCCCTGTACGACCAGGGCTGGGAATCTGAAAACCACATTTCTCCAACTCCCGTGGTTCCAGTGAGGTCTGAAGGTGGGAGGAAGGGAAAAGCCCTGCTGTTTCTGGCAGTGCCCCTGGCAACATCAGCAGCATTGTCTCCTGCCTAGCTAAAGTGGAGGTGGTTCCAGCAGTATCAGCAATACAAGCTCTAGTGGCATCAGCAGCTAGTGCAGATTTATGGGCTCTGGCTTCCTGATTTTTGGGTGACACCTTTTCTTCCTTTTGCTCCTTTAAATCAAGATTGGTAGTAGCTTCCTGTTCTCTGAATAACGCTGCTTTCTGTCTATGCTGTCTTCAGACCTCCCCATAATTTTTTAACAAATTCCTTGCATTAAATCCTTCTCTACTTGGAATATCTAGAGTGGTTTCTGTATACTTATTGAACAGCAGTTGATACAGTATACATTCCTATTTCGCATGCAGGCACACACGTGTACACATGCACACACATGAAGCTCAGAGAGGTCGAGTAAATTTCTCAAATCTGCAATTAGTAAGTGACCTAGTAGCTGGAATTGGAATTCAGACATGTCTAACTCTAAAGTTCTCACTGTTTATCTGACCTACAGTTGGTTTTTGTTGTTGTTTTCTTGTGTTTTCTTCCTGGCCTAGTAGCTGGAATTGGAATTCAGACATGTCTAACTCTAAAATTCTCACTGTTTATCTGACCTACAGTTGGTTTTTGTTGTTGTTTTCTTGTGTTTTCTTCCTTATGGGTAAATAAAATAGAAGTTAAAAGAAGCAGAGAAATAATAGTACTGTCAAGAAAATTGTTCAGATTGACCTTGATGTTCAGCCTATGGAAAAAAAATAGCTTTTAGGGAATGGAATGTTGGGAGAGTAATCAAGATACCAAACATTTGTATAGTCAAAGAGCAGGTTGTAAGGGAGGCAGAAGAATAAGCATATGAAGTTGTGCTCACAAGAAGGATATTGGGATTTAAGGAATTTCTTCACAGGTGGAGCAATTGTGCGCCATGAATAGGGTCAGGGCTTGGCCATAGTAATTGGGTGGCTGAAGTGGAGATGACAATCTGTAAAGTCTTCGGCAACTGAGAGGACATAGTCAAGAGTTTGGTATATGATGGCCATAAGAATGGTAGAGAGAATGATGTGGCTGACTTGCATGTTGCCAAAGGAGAAGGAATTTAACCTGCATTGAAAGAGAAAGAAAAACAGTACAGATGTGTACAGAAGTCATGCAAAGGCTGATACTGCTTCCTGCCCACTGGGATAACTACAGAGAAAGGAAAAGGGGGCCCTGGGGCAGAGACTGGTTTCAGTCAAAGCTGGAGGTAAAGAGGCAGAAAAGTTTATTAACCACGGAGTATGTAAAGGATATAAGGAAGTTTGTTATCTATGGACTGTGAATCTGAGAGGGCACCACAGAAGGTTTGGCAAGAAGAGACATAATGATGAATGGGGGAAAGGGACTGTAGAGCAGTTTGGAGATGAAATTCCTCACTCCCCCTTGTCATATTCAGTCTATCAGCAAGTCCTATAAACTATGTCTTCTAAATATTTTTAATCTGACCACTTGTCTTTGTCTTCATTGTCACTATGTCCAGGCCTCCATGATCTACCTCCCAGACTACAGTCCCGACATCCTCAACGGTCTCCCCACATCTGCTGTGGACTTCTTTCACCCAGTATCCACTCTGCAATGGTCAGAGAAATCTTTCTAAAATGTAAATCTTATCACCTCCCTTCCTTGTCTAAAATCCCTCAGTAGGTCTCCATTACCCCAAAGACAGACAAAACCCATGCTTTCTAGACTGACATGGAAGGCTTCTTATGAATTGAGAAGCCCCTGCCTCCTTGTCCAGTCTCATCCCTCACCAGCCCCTCACTCATACCCCATACTCCAGCCCTGTTGAGCTGGTTGCAGTTTGCACTCCTGGCTGTCTCTTCTCCCCTTGTTTTACTTTGCTCACATTTCCTCCTCTGCCTGCAATGCTCCCTGGCATGGTAATGCATAGCAGGCAGTGAATACATATTTGCTAAAGGAGTTGCATATATTCTACTCATCTTTTAAAATTCAGCTCAAGTATTATATGAAGCCTTTCCTAATCCTTCCTCCATCCCTAGTATTGCTGGCTCTGCTCTCCTTTGTATATATAGTCTTCCATCTTAATGTGTATTTCTCTTTATTGCTTTTATTTGATGCCTTGTCTGTGTTCCCCTCCTGACTGATAGAATGGCAGATTCTTGAGGGTGGGGACTGTTGGATTCATCTCATTACCAGATTGCCTCACACATTACTCTGCACATGGGAGATGCCAAGCAAGTGGATAAAAGAAACATGAGTTGGACCTTGCTATGGTCTGAATGTTGGTGTCCCCCAAATTCATATATTGGAATCTAATACCCAATGTGATAATATTAAGAGGTGGGGACTTTGGGGAAGTGATTAAGCCACAAGGACTCCAATCTTATGAATGAGATCGGTACCTTTTTAACAGAGTTTGAAGGGAGTTGCTTGCCCCCTTTCCACCTTGTGAGGATATAGCAAAAAGGAGCCATCTTTGAAGCAGAGCAAGACCTTACCAGACACCAAATCTGCTGGAGCCTTGAGCTTCCTAGCCTCCAGAACTGTGAGCAATAAATTTCTATTGTTTATAAATTACTTAGTCTAAGGTATTTTGTTATAGCAGCCTAAACAGACTGAGACAAATCTTTTCTGGGGGTTCCTTGGAGACATTGCAATAGAACAAGTGGGAGGAGAGGAAAAAAAGGAAACTGAGTACTCCCTCTTCAACAGAGAGGAGGAGGTTAACCTTGAGTACCAGAGTTGCTGGATTACTGTTTAGACACCTCTAGCCTCCTTAGCATGATGCAGTGGTAGCCCCAGATGTAGCACATGGACTTAATAAGACCCAGACCTGAGACTCTGTCCTTGTCCCCACCCCTCAGACTGGCAGCCAACCCCATGAGAGAACCACCAGACACCATCAGGGATGAAGGGGAAAGCTCAACATACTCCTTGGGAGTGGATTCCACAGCTCTGGTGCCTGGCCCCTAACCTCTGTTCCCAGCTCCAGCCAACCACCTGGGTAGCCCTTAATTTGATATGTCTAGATTCATCCACTGTCTCCCCACTCCCAGCCCCTGAGTCTGGAGCCATTCTATGGCCTAGCCTCCCAGTATAAAGTCCGATGTGGCAGTGGAAACTTGTCTGTCTACTGTTCTATCCACCAAAGCCCCACAAAGCAAGGGGCCACAAGATAAGGAGGAGCTAACCCTAAACCATATGAGGCCATGAGTCACAGTCTAGGTTTACTTCCAGGGCTCCTTCCTGAGTAAATCCAAGGGATGAGTTTGAGTCTGTGTTCATTGTCACTGGAAGGTGGGTAGTATTATACCCATTTTACAGAAGAGGTCATTGAGGCTAGTACATGAAAGCTCAGAGTAAGGTCCCCCTCCTAGAGTCTCAGACTATTTTTTCAGCCTAAAAAAAAATCAATTTCCAACTTCAGCTGGGTTGGAAAGATAGAGGAAAAAATGGGTCTCATTTGAGACCCAGCTACCTGTAGTCCAGGCCCAATCCCTGGTCAAATTATTGTCAGCAAGTTTGGAATCTAAAGCATCTGTCAGTTTATGACCAAAAAAGAACCAAACACGGCAACCTTTACACTAGTGACATTCACTGGCCTAGATGGTGCAGATACCCAGGAGACTGAAAGGGTAGGTCAGATTCTCTCTGTTGGCAGATCTCATGAGGCTCCAGTAGGCCCCGCAGGGGCTGTGTTCTGCAAATGCATTTCGTGGTGCCAAGTCCCTGAATTATTCCTTCTCTCTTCCTCTCCTCTCTCCAGTTTGCTTTTGACACATAGCTGGTGTCTTTCTGTTTCCCTGCCTCAACTTCATCCTATTTGTTTTGTTTTGGGGTTTTTTGGCAGCTGGCCAGTAAGGAGATCCAAACCCCTGAACTTCATGTTATCAGCACCACTCTGTAACTGAGACAACTGGCCACTGCCCACCCCCACCCCCACGCACACATTTTTCTTATTCTGCTTGTTATGCCTAACTCTTGGCAACCAGAGCCTTGTTTTCTGGGTGGTGCCACCTGAACCACCTGGAACCACAATTTGAGGGCTGCCAGATAGAAGCCCCTCCATGGCAGCCTCGAGCCAACTCACTTTGCATGGACATAGCTTCCCCAGGCCCCGTTGCTCCTGATGCCTCGGAGCCAAGCTTTGGTCACTTCTTAGCAGGCTGGGTCAGAGTCCTAGCTCTGCCTCTTACTTGACATGTAAACATAGCAGTTCCTCTTCCTACTCTGGTCCTCTTTTTCCCACTATGTGTAGATAGTCTGGGAAAGCAAGTTGCTGATCTAGATCTAAAAATGCAGAAATGAGATTTGTCCCTTAGCTTTCCCCTCCTTTGCTTCCCACAGCCTTGCTGGAACTCAAGATCCTTAAAAGAGAAGTTGCTAACTTTTTAACTCAAAGAAAGAATAAGATTATTCCACAACTAGGGCCCCTTAATTCAAGTGAAGAAGCAATCTGGCTTTATTGTGAGGAAACTGGGGGGGATGGAAGGGTGGTCCAGACTCATGTCAGAAGGCCCCTCAGTGACTGCAGCCCAGGAGGCTGGCCACTGTCTGGGGCTGGGGAAGGATATTGGCCTCACTCAGTTTTTCCACATCACTGTAGCAGTATACATTAGGGCCATGGACGAGGTACAAGCTGGGACCACTGGTGGAACACGAGTGGAGGCTGAGGGAATTTTCCATACACAGGGCCCCATCAACCTTCTTATGGGGCCATGGAAGCTCCATCCATGTGGCTTGAGCTCCTAAATTCAGGTCCAACCACCATAGCTGCTGTCCTGGGAAGAAGGCATCAAAAATAGCATGACTTCCATGTCATAAGGATTGTGACCTAGCCCTTCTCGTGTGCTGGTGGAAATCTATGCCATGCAGAGGTAACAGAACAAGCCACCCCTTAGCACCCAGAAGCCCCTCACCTGCGATGACGTGGAGCCGAGAAGACCCAGGACAGGTAAAGGCTGCATCCACCATCTCAACTTTGATCTCAGGTGGGCTCCCGAGTTCCTTGTCCAGCCGCTTTGGATAACCACTTACTAGGGTATAGCCCCCCTTTGCCAGGAAGACATATACCTGGGTGCCCTGGAGGACAAAGGACAGTAATCAACATAGAGCTGGATATCCTTGCCTCAGTCTCCACCTCAAGACTCTCTCCCAACACATACCTGGAGCAGATAGAGTTTATTATCCCAGGAGAAGGCAGCATCCACCGTTGAAGGACCCTCGGGCCACTGGTGAGCAATGGGCCAGCTATGCCACCCATCCCGGCTGGTGTCCAGACGCCAATAGTGGGACCCTGTGGGGTATCATAGGTAGCTCCAGTGCTGGTGGTTAAAAGCCCAGGCAGTAAAGTGGCTGGTGTGGGATGCGAGGATGAGCCGTGAGAGAGAGAGAATGCATACAGAGCCCAAGAAGGAAGAGGACAGGTGAGAGGGAGAAATAGATCACGACTTGGTCAGCAATGTTGGGCATTGTGGCCTGGCTGGAACTGGGGTCAGCAGGGGCCTGAAGGCAAGCCTGGAGAACAGTGGTCGAGATTCCAGGTAAGGCAAATATCATGGGGTTTGGTGGGGGCTCCCTATGCATCTCACTTGTCCATAGGCAGAGATGTGGTTATAGATAATGAGATGTACTGGCCAGACCCACAAGCTTCCACTAACTGTCCTCACTCTGGCTGTGTTGTCTGATGCCTGTGAGGTGGCAGGAGAGTGAGGGGGTAGCCAGACCAACACTCTGTTTTTCTTCTACCCTTTTCATAACAACTTATTAAAGGAATTGTCTAGGTTCCCATTTACTTTTTTTCTCATCCCTTTTCAATTACACTTTCGTTTCCCTCCTCCATTAAAATTGTTCTTATCAAGATCACCAGTATCCTCCAACCTGACAAATCTAATGGTCAATTGTCTGTCTTCACCTGACTCTACCTCTCACAACTCCCTTTTTCTTAAATATCTCTTTTGAATCTTGGCTTCTGTGATACCAGACTCTCTCAGCGTTCCTCTTATCCTTTTTTTTTTTGAAGCTGGCTGGTAAGGGGATCTGAACCCTGGGCCTTGGTGTTATCAGCACCATGCTCTAGCCAACTGAGCTAACCAACCAGCCCTCTTATCTTTTTGCCTACTGTTCTCTTCGGCCTGATATCTAAATATTGGAATCCCGGGCCGGCCCGGTGGCGCACTGCTACAGTGCGCTGCTTGGGAAGCGCGGCGGCGCTCCCGCCGAGGGTTCGGATCCCACATACAGACCAGCCGCTCACTGGCTGAGCGAGGTGTGGGGGCAACACCGAGGATTGCGATCCCGTAGCCGGTCCTGGTCTGGTACGGGGGCGACACTGAGGGTTGCGATCCGTTGCCCGTCACGAAAAAAGACAAAAAGGAGAAAAAAAAAAATATTGGAATCCCCTAGTCTGGGCCTCTTCTTGTCTTTGTCCACCCTCGCTCCCATGGTGATCTCACCTGGTCCCAGGGCTTTAACACCATCTACATTTTGGTGACTTCCAATCTGTTGTCTTCAGCTCTCACTAGCCTCTCCTTTGAGCTTCAGGCTCAAACTCAGCTGCCTACTTAACATAATCATTTGGTACCATGAGGAACCAAAAACTTAACATGTCCAAACTGATTTAGGCCCCCACCAAGACACACATACATGCTCCTACTCTCTAGTTTTTCCTAATTTTAGAAAAGGAAACCACCAACCACACAGTTGCCCAGTCCCAAAAAGCTGAGTCATTCTTGAAACCGCTCTTTTCCCTTCCCAACTGACCAGTAGCTAATCTACCCATTAATGCTGGCAGCTCTACCTCCAAAATATATCATGATGACTCCTCACCACCTCTGCTGCTATCATCCTAGTCCAAGCTGCCGTCACCTCTCATCTGGACAACTGTAGGAACAGCTGTATCTCTTGCTTATACCATCAACCTTTATGACTGATGCTCCACAAGAAGCCAGAATGATCTTTTTAAAAATAAGTCAGAGTGTACCATAGTTCCACTGAAGACCTTCTTCTCTTGGCTTCCTTTCATGGTTGAAAATCCTTAACAGGCCTATGTAATGTGGCCCCTGCCTCTCTCTTTCTCTTAAGCCACCCACCTGCTCCTCTGTATTCCAGCCACACCTGCCTTCTTTATCGATTGCTCAAGGCATTTGCTGTTCACTCTCCCTAAAATGCTTTTCCTCCTGTGCTTTGTGGGACTAACCTGCCTCTCTCTTTCTCTTAAGCCACCCACCTGCTCCTCTGTATTCCAGCCACACCTGCCTTCTTTATCGATTCCTCAAGGCATTTGCTGTTCACTCTCCCTAAAATGCTTTTCCTCCTGTGCTTTGTGGGACTAATTCCTTTTCATCACTGAAATCTAAGCTCAAAAAGCATCTCTTCAGAAGAGGGGCCCCTCATTCTTCTCACCTCTATACCATTATCCTGTCTTGTTTTCTTCGAAGATGTAAACATTACCTGAAAGTATTCTCTTTCCTTCTTTCGCTTTCTTATTGTCCTTTCTCTCTCTAGCAGGCTCTATGAGGGCAGGTGTCTCATCTGCCATGTTGACTATTGTATCCCAGTGCCTAGAACAATGCCCAGTGCCTATCAGGTGCTCAATGCATATCTGTTAGGTAAACACCCACCCGGTGCTCTTGCTGCAGCCACAGGTTCTCCTTATAGCTGTGTACTGAGTATGTAGTGGTGACTGACTTACCCACCTTCAGCGTCCTGCTGAAACTACCCTCCTCAGGATCTGTATCTTGAGAAGCAGAGCTATGCTGCTCATTGTGCAGAAATAAGTGATGAGCCCCCAACCCATCAGTAGCCAATACACAGACAGGCTGGCCAGCAACCACTTTACTGTGGCCTGTATGAAAATACAGACTGGGCCATCCAATTCCCTCTCTGGAAATCTGACTAGGAAAAGAGAATAAATGAGGGCATCATCAGTTGGATCTGAGGCTGAAAGTTCATGAAGTAGAGAGAAGATAGAGAGGACATGATGGTCCATGTGCAAGCCCAAGTTGTGAAGAGGTAGAGAGAATAGATAAGGAGCTGGGAGGTAGAGAAAGGAGAAAGTTTTACCACAGAGAGGAGAGGACCAGCCCCTGCTGAGTAGCTGGGTCACATTGGTATTTTCAACGAGATAGTGAGTTCTCTCCTCAGTTGGGTATTTTTAACATAATGGGGTTCTCCCCGTGGCTGTGTGCTCTCGACAGCTATGGAACATACATGCTACTTTTCACTTAGGAGTTCAGCTGTATTCTCTTTATGGCCATATGGCCTTGAAGTTCTGTGATCTCTCCATGGCTGGGTATGCTCTCCACATTTCAGTGTGGTTCCTGTGGCCCTGTTTTCTTAATCTGCGTGTGTGTGTATCTCACTTTGTATGTCCTCCTAATGGTTCCATGCTCTCACCATAGATGCACATTTTCCTGATACTTACATGTTCTTACTGTGGCATATGTTCTCAGTGCAGTTGTGTATTTTCACTAAAGGTGTGTGTGTTTTATCACGGCTGTATATTCTCACTGAGGCATATATTACTGCTGTGGAGATATGCTCTCCATGAAGCTTGTGTATTTTTCAGTAGAAGTTGGTAGTCATAACAGATCAGATTTGTCCAAGGATTAGGAACAAAATTTTATTTTCACTGTTACATATTCTCACCACTACCCTAGCTCTGTATTTGATCTTACAGATATCTTAGGTTGTGTGTAATGTGCTTGTTCACACCCTCTCTTGGAGATGTTCTTACATGTGGAGCATGATTCATTACTCACTGTCTGACAAACCCCAGAACATCCCTTGATATCATTAGATGCCACAGGACAAGGGAGAGGTATCTTCACTGGCCAATCAGAGAAGAAACCTCCTCAGGCTGATGAAACCACCTTCTACAGGTCTAAGGTACTCAGCATTTCCTAGTTGGTTCTCAGCAATGGGAACATCTCATCTCCAGGCAATGCTGAGCCCAGAAGCCTGGACATATGAACTAGGCACCTGGGAAAAGCTGGAGCTCCTGATGATGAGCTCAGCGGGAGCCAGAAGACTCAGAAAGACATGCAAGAGCAAAGGGACACAAGGAAGCACAGAGACACAGAGAGGTCCAGAGAGCAAGGGAGAGCCAGAGGGCCCAGCAGGGCAATGAGCAAGGAGAATATGAGGAGACATAGGTGTCTGGAGAGGACCACAGAGGGCACAGACATGGGAGTAGATAGCACTTGGAGGTAGACAGATGTATGGAGTTAGATACCTGGACAGTGAGGGGCGAGGTTTAAAAATATGCATCAAAGGAGATGAAGGATGCAAAAGGACATGCTAAGGATGGGGGACAGAGGGGACAAAATAAGGAACACAGTGATAAAAATGGAGGAAATGTGTCAGGAGTGGAAGACAAGTGAAAGAGATGGGAGGGCAGAGGTGAGGGAATTGGGGGCATCTCTCACCACTGAAGGCATAGGTGGCACCATGGTGGTCAGACACCAATGCAGACAAGACTAGATCTGGGCTACAGCGCATATACTCAGGGCTTTGGTGGGTACCATTCCCATGATGGGTCCCATTCCTGTGTCGATGACCATGGCCTGGGAGGAGAAATAGGTGAAGGAAACACAGAGGGAGGGCCAGAGGTCAGAGTGAGTTTTGAGGTGGAAGAGATGGCTGGGGCTAGTGGGGGTGTGGGCTTCCCCTATATGAGGACAATGGGAAGAGCCAGAATGCAAATGGGGCTTGGGTAAGGGCCAAGGAGTTACAACATGGAGTTAAGGTGAGAGCTGGGTTACTTGGGGTCCACAAGCTGAGGGAAAGTGAAGGAATTCCAGCACGTCCCAGGGGCTGGGGCTTTCTTACCTCTGCCAGGGCAGAGCACGAAGTAATCTCGGACATCAATGGGAAGAGCCAGAATGCAAATGGGGCTTGGGTAAGGGCCAACATGGAGTTAAGGTGAGAGCTGGGTTACTTGGGGTCCACAAGCTGAGGGAAAGTGAAGGAATTCCAGCATGTCCCAGGGGCTGGGGCTTTCTTACCTCTGCCAGGGCAGAGCACGAAGTAATCTCGGACATCCCGAGGGTACACGGGAGGTACCACTCCCGTGACAGGGTCGAAGCGCAGGAATTGGTTACCCTGGAAGCAGTAGTAGCGGCCGAGCCATCGCAGGGCAGAAGAGCAGTTCCCAACAGCTGTCCAAGAACGCTCCTTTCCCACTCTCGTAGCCAAGTCCCAGAACCACTTGCGATTACCTTTGTCCCATCAATCAACAAGCATTTAGTAAAGCTGGGTTATGCCCCCCATCATGCTTGCACTGGGCCCGTGGTTGGGCCAGATACAGTACTAGCCACATGGAGCTCACAGCCCAGCAGGGAGACAGTTGAGGAGAGTGATCACACAATAAAATTCAGCAGCAAAGTGCACAAAATCAGCTCAGCAAAGGTAGTGGGGAGAATCAGGGAAAACTTCCCAGAGAAAGTGATATTTAAAATCTGAAGGAGGAGTTACAAGGCTGAGAAAAGGGGAGATGAAACTCCAGAGAGAGCAAAGAGCCTGAAGCATGAAGCAAACTGAGTGTACATGGAACAGCATGGAGTTTCTGGAACTTAGTATTAAAGGTAAGGGGATGATAAGAGTCAAAACTGGAGGTCAATAGGGGTAAGTCATGGAGAGTTGTTTGTCTGTAAGACTAAGGAGCAAAGATTTGTCCTAGGGTCATGGGAAACAGTGAGGAACTTGTAGCAGAATTACACCCAGTTACCTTCACCAGAATGACTTCCTCTCTTTCCCCTGCTTGACCTCTAGACCATAACTGGCTTCTCTATGTCCGTTCCTTAGAAAGTGGCTCCACCATATAGTGGCTCCACCACCACCATCACTACCACTATGGCCATTACTATCAGCACAACTACCACATCACCACCAAACCACCACTGCTCCAGGTCCCTGGATTCCGGCCTGAACTGACCTTGGAAGAAGAGGATGCCTTCATCTTGGCATTCTCCACGGTGACATTCCACAGCTGCATCCAGTGGGAATGGGATTCCAGGAAATTCTTCTTGGAGTGACTTTGTATATCCCTTCTCTTTTTCAGGAGGGTATACCCAGACTTTGTCCCCCTGCATCCAAAAGCACTCTCTTTTTAACTGTGCACCACAGATTCTGCCATTCTGCATTCACACACAACACTTTTGATTTATTGCACTTACACAATGTCTTCCTGCTTTTAGTCCATCTGTGGACAACAATGTACTATCCACTTGCACAATACATACCCTTAGTTTATACAGATCCAGTCATTATTCCTATATCACACACATCTCACTATGTACCACCAGACACTACTGTGGCACACTTATTTGAAACACCTTCAGTCTTGGCAAACATATCCACAAATACTCATCCTGCAATCGTCCATCCATATTTACATTCATTTGTTCGTTTATTCATTCATTAAAGAAACAGTTGCTGAATCACTACTATATGCCAAATATTGTGAGAAGCACTAGGGATAAAGGGATGACAAGACCCTGTCTTTGACTTCAAGGAGTTCACTGTACAAAAGGATAAAGGATTCCTTTAATCCTAGCTATGCAACCACCAAGGTGGAAAGCATGCAAGTGCATTGGAAATATAGAGGAAGTGCGTAAGTCTGCCTACAGAAATTCTGGAAAGCTTCACAGCAGACAGGGAGCATTTGGCCCAAGAGTTGAAAAAATGGGAAGGAATTTTCCAAGTGGACAAGTGAGGAAAAGGCGTTACCAGGAGAGGGGGCAGTATGTAGAGCCCAAACATGAGGAATTACAGTGTGCTCAGAGAACTTTATGTAGTCTCAAGTGGCTGGCACATAGTTCATGTGGTAGGAGAGGAAATAAACCTGAAAAAATAACCAAGGGCCAGGTCATGAGACCTGATTTGCACCTGGCTTGCAGTAACCAGACATGTGGTTGTGCCATTTACTGAAATAGGGAATGCAGGAGTTGCTTTTTTTAAGGAAGACTCTAAGCTCAGTTTTGGGATTTGCTGAATTTGAGGTGCCTGTGGAACATCTAAGCCAGAGATTTTTGCCAGGAAATTGGAAAGAGATGTCTGGAGCTCAGGAAAGAGATCCAGACCCAGTGTCCATAGCATAGAGAATCCTCAGAGCCATGGCAATGCTTGAATTCACCCAGGGAAGGTGTATGGAAGGACTAGGATGGATTCCCAAGAAACTATTTGGGGACTGGCTGAGGATGAGACACCTGAGAAGAGAAGGAAAAGAGACACTAGGGAAAACAAAGCTGGCAATCAGGCCTGCCAACCACACAGCACTTTTGGCAAGTGAAGAGAAGGTACCTCTTCCTCTGAGCACACTCATCCTGGGCCAGGGCACAGGCCTTGGTGAGCACAGTAGGCTGGATGTCATCCTCCACTGACCCCATTGGCCAGGGGCCATAGTGCTGGGAACAACCTTCCCTGCCATATGAAGAGGACCTGATGCAGGGTCAAGGAAGCCATGAGAAGAAACTTCCAAGAAGGAAAGGATGGCTACCAGCATGAGGTGTAGCAGAGTGGTCTAGAACTGAGACAAGGACTGAAGAATAGCCACTGGATGCTGTGCCTGCCAGGCCCATGTGCAGACACATTTCCTTAGCCTGAGCTTTTTTGGGAAAGGAAAGCACAGGGGAAGAAAATCTGGTACCTATCACTATCAGCTCATGCCACAGCCACTTGGGGGAGGGTCTCTAGTGCTGTTTCTGTCCCTTTCCAGCCCAGCCCTGACCTTTGCCCAGCAGTACCTTGATCAGGAAGACACTGTCATGACCACGGCGGAATGCAGCATCCACAGGGCCAGTGAAATTCTTCCACCTCTCTGAGATTAACTTCCGGGTCCGCGTGTGAATCTTCCACACGAACTCCCCTAAAAAACCCACACTCACTGAGGGATCCAGAACAAACCTTTGGACTACTGAGAAGCTGTCAGTGACACCCTCAGATAATTCCTAAGATTTCCCACTAATGGAGACATACTCTGTGAAGGGGATTAAGTCTGAGGTCCCAAATGCCCCAACCCTAGCCCCTCCTACCTTTAAAAAACAGCATGGTTCCATTGTCATCCAGGGTGGTAGCATCAAAGCTCCAGCCATCTGAGCAGGGTTCTGGGGAAGTGGGGAAATGGTAAAGTAAAAAAAAGAAAAAAGAAACCAGTAAGATTATAAAATGCAGAGACACAACCAGACAGACTGAGAAAGTTAAGTCCTCACCGATTGCATCTGAGCCTGGCTTGGTTCCAATACCATTTTCAGCAACGTTGCCAGGGGCACTGGTCCTAGAGAGAACAAAAACAGATGTCTGGGATCACTGGGACCATCCCCTTCCCTCAGCTCCTAACCCCAAAATTGACCCAGGCCTAAAAACTGGCCCTATCTTGCCCTAGCTCAGACCCCAATCCTCCTTCCTAATCCTAGCTTTACTCACGGAGGAAGAGGACTGGCGGTAGCCAGTGACCAGCACAGGCCCAACAACCCAAGTGCAACTGGTGCTCCTGGTGCCCTAGCCATACTGAGCTGGAGAGGTCACAGAATGCTCTAGGCACCTGGTTGAACTCTTATATAGAGAGAGCTGGCAGTAGCACCACCCCCACTTCTAACCCTACTGGGAATGAGCTGTCTCTCAGGACTATGCCAATATTGGCTGATTACATCACTGCAAATAAGGTCAGGGTCTGGACAGAAATCCAGGTCCAAGACTCCCTCTTCCTGGCAGTTGCGCTCATCCCCCTTCAGCAACGTTTGAGCAGTGACCAGCCCATGATGTTGATGTCCAGCTGTGACTCTCATCACACTGGCAGTGGGTTTAGGTGCCCATAAATTAGGAAAGGGGGTAGATTGAGAATCACCTTTCTGTTGTTGAGTTTATCTCTACAATAGGGGAGGAGGGAACTAACATTTTTGTGTACTATGTCAAGCCTTGCTCTAAGGCAGCTAAAGACACTGATACTTATATGCACTTAGTAAACTTACACACAAATAAACTTACGTAGTAATACTCAGAGGGCTAGCTGGTTAGCTTATTTAGTTAGAGTGTGGGACTGATAATACCAAGGTCCAGGATTCAGATCCAGAACCGGACAGCCAACAAAAAACAAATAAAAAACAAACAAACAAAAAAAGAAAAACACTCAGAGAACAGCTTTTTCCAAGCTCCATGAGGGGCCTTTCTGGGACATCCCCAAGCCTGTTTGTTTTACCCTGGCACTAGTGATTTTGGGGACAATAATTTCTCACCATTGCCAAAATGTCCAAGCCCTGTGCCCAGCCTCAACCCCCACTGGCAAAGAGCTTTGCAAATCTTGCCTGGAAGGGAAGGGCTGACAGTAATGGGACAGGAGGAGGGGGTGTCTCTCTTGCAGAGAGCACTATCACTACTAGTAATTAGTCCTTCTTAATAGTTTCCACCTTAGGGGGAAAATGCCTTATTTACCCATCACAGAACAAATAGAACTGTAACTGGTGTTTCACAATATTTACAGCTGATTACTGCTTAAATGCCACGTTCTCAATGAAGCTTTTTTTTTCCTCCAGTAACTGACCCCAAGACCTTGGTGTTATAAGGCTGTGCTCTAACCAACTGAGCTAACTGGTTTTATATCACTTACTAAAACTTGAAATTATTTCATCTGTCTACTCATTTAATCTTTTTTGCTTTGTTTTCTTTTGCCCTTATGTGTTTTAATCTCTTTTACCATTATATCTCTGCCACCTAGTGTGTGGCATAAAATAGTTGCCCAATAAATACTTGTTGAATGAAAAAAAATTGCATTTCAAGTACTGATTAGTGTTGCTTGTGTTGCGGCCAAATGTCTGACAGTTTTCCCCCTTCTAGGGTAAGGGGAATATTAAGAATTGGTAGTATGTTATGAGAAGGGACATATTGTAACCTAGGTGTCACAGATTCCCTTGTCACTGCCTCTTATCTGATGGTCTTCTCTCTCCAGTGTCCCAGTCCCACATCCCTCTTTTCCTAGGATCTCACCTGCTATTTTCAGAATATGCTATCATAGGTACTCCCTGGGACCACTCTCGATTCCTCCCCTATTTCCATCTAAGAAATGGCTGCTGGGTCAGAAGAGAATTATAGACAGAATTGGCTATGGGTCAGGCTAAGGTTCCAGGGCCCCTATTCCTTAGCCAAGGCTGAAAGAGCCCTGATCCCCCTCAGATGGCTTCTTACCCCTGACAGCCCCCAATATAACATTAGAAAAAGTCTCAGATCTCTTTTCTACTCTACAAAGGTTTCTCCCAAGAGAAAAAGATTTCTGGGACCTCAGGAACATGTCACCAGGCCTCTGCCACCAGGCTTAACACCGTCTCCTGACTGACAGATGAAAACATGATGTTAACATCATTCCCTCCTCATAGATCAGTTGGCAAAGCTGGACTACTTGAGTCCTCGGCAGCATGGGCAATGCCACAGCTCTTACAGCCAGTGCCTGGTACCCACCTTCTTCCTATTGAAGGACATATCTGGCTGGACCTGCTCCACCCATTTCTGGGCATTGAACACTGGGAACTGTTATTCCCAGACTCCCCCTCAGTTTTTCTTTTCCTCTCACCTCCTGAAAGCTTATACAACCTTCTTGGGATTCTCTCTCCTGAACACCCAGTGGCCCCTCCATCAGCAGTCTCCTCAGCAACTTGTCTCCAGCTGCCAGAGCCCTGTCTACATGTCTGACAGATTTTGCTGAGCCTGCTTGGGGAGATGGAAACTTTCACCTCAAGTCACAAACACCCCACAGAAAACCCACAGTGAAAGCCTCCAAAAGTCCTATTAGCAGGGTCCTACACTGACTTACTAGTCCAGGGAGCAGTCTCCCTCTGGCCTGGCAGGGCTCTTTGAGAGGAAACAGCACAAATACTGTATGATAGATTTTCAGCTTGGCCTTTTCTTTCCCACACAGCTCTGATCCCCTTTATAGCGCCCCTGTATCCATCTATCCCAGAACAGTGCTTTCCAGCCCCTTTTCACTGTTGTTTCCTAATTCACTTGTTTACCCCCCAGCAGAGATACCATTATCGGAGTCTCCCTCTTCCACTTCTCCCACTGCTCCTCCCCTCCACACCTCAGGGACTAGGCCAGCAGAGTTTTCTGCATCTCAGGCAGCACAGGTTGAAGCACAAGTTCTGGGAGGAGCTAAGAGGCAGAGGACTGTGTCCATTTGGGAACCCAGGGCAGTGAATATATTGGCCACCCTGGTGCCGGTCACAGAGCCCAAGGCAACTCTTCTCAGTGTACCCAAGATAGGGCTGGCCTTGTTTCTCTTCCCCTCACTTGAGGAACGCACTTCCACTTGTCCTCAGTCTTTCCCAGCCTTCTGGCCTGGACTGAGGGGAGAAGCTTGTCCGTATCTGGGCCTGAGCACCCTCTGGAGGCCACAGGAATCAGTGCACTCCCGCCCTTCAACAGGAGGCCAGAGCTCAGGAGTTTTTATGATACTAGCTCTCCACAGCTTTCCTGCCTCAATCCTCTCAGCCCTGCTGTGTGGCCTCAGTGGCATGTCTCCTTCTATGCTCCTTTCCCTTCCTCCGCAAACCTCTGCTGCCCAGATAGAGTTTAAGGACCTCAGTCTCTTGCTTGATTTCCTGGAGAATTCAAGGCCAAAGAAATTAAACTATCTCCTTTTCCATGTAGTCTTCTCAATCCTCCTAACCAGCATCTTGCTGACTTCCCTCAGAGAGGGTCTGAGTGGACTTGCAAATGTCTTCATGGACAGAGCTTCTTCCTGCATTGCTGGGAGCCAGATTTAAGCTGGAAACTGACCCACCATCCTTTGGAATGGTTACGTCCAGCCTGCCCTGCTGTTGATCTGAGTTCTCTCACCTTCCTCATTTCTCCTGGGCCCACTGACTGCTGGGTGCATTTGGCCTGATGCCTGCAGCTGTGTACCACAGGGAGCAGAGACTGAATTCCCCCGTCCCCTGGGGTTAGAAGGCTAGGGATAAAGCTCCAGACAGCCAGAAAGAGTTTGCTGCTCCCAACTGACCACTCATGCATAAATATTTTCTCTTGCTTTGTCTGTAACAGGCCTTCTGAGTAGTCAATTCTTCATTCTCTATGAATAAATAATAATAATTCACTCACATCTTTTGGGCACATATGTCTGTGTTATTACTTGATATTATTTCATTCCATTAAATATATATACAGATGCTCCTCTATTTGCAATGGGGTTACATCTCAATAAACCCATTGTAATGTCGAAAAATCTTGAGTCAAACCATTAGGAAACTCTTTATAGTACTTGCTGTGGTATGAATGTTTTTATCCCATCCAAATTCATGTGTTGGAAGCTTAATCCTCAGTGCAGCAGTGTTGGGAGGTGGGGCCTAATGGAGGGTATTTAGTTCATGGGGGGTCTGCCCTTATGAATGGATTAACGCTGCTATAAAAAGGGCTTATGAAAATGGATTCTCTCTCTTCTGCCCATATCAGAAAGAGTGTTCCTCCCTCCAGAGGATGCAGTGTTCAAGGCACCATCTTGGAAGCCAAGACTGGGCCCTTCCCAGACACCAAAACTGCCAGTGCCTTGATCTTTGACTTTCCAGCCTCCACAATTGTGAGAAATAACTTCCCGTTCTTTATAAATTACCCAGTCTCAGATATTTTATTACGGCAACACAAACAGACTAAAACAGACTATTAGTCCCATTTTATGAAGGAGGAAAACAATATTAGGTATCTTAAGTCAAATCACATTGTTAGCAAGACTCTGAATGCCTGACTTCTTAGGGTGTGCTCCTAGTCCTATCAAGGGGTATGCTGGTAAATATTTAACAGCTGCTTTCTAGAGAAGTAAAAGCCCTGTTTTGTAACCTTTTCTGATTTCCATTGTGCAAAAACTCCTACCGTGGCCAACTTCAAGCTACCAATTGTGGAGTTGGAAAGAGATGTGCAGTAACGTACAATCGTATGGTATTTCCACCAAATAGATACGATAGATGTAAATACCTTAAGAGCACAAGTAATAATAAAAGTCAGGGAGTCCAGTTTGCCCACTGTCCTATGAGGGGGGAATGTTAACAGCACGTTTTTATTTGTCAGGAGAGGACGGTAAGCCTGGTGGCAGAGGCATGGTGATATGTTGTTTCTGAGGTCCCAGAAATCTTTGTTCTTCTATTAGGAAAAACCTTTGCAAAGTAAAATAGTTAAGAAGTGATGAGTTTTGAGTATTATCTTTGGTTTTAATAACATGCATTTAATTTTAAGTTTATAGAGTTTAATTTTTAATGATGGTTGGGTTTTAGCAACCAGCTCTCAGAATTCCTGAAAATTTGACAATCAACTCTTGAGAGTCAGTATAAACCACCTCTGGTACCCCACTGTCCAACATATTGCTTTAGTGTACAGGACAAGGATTTTATCAGCTTTATTCACTGCTATATCTTCAGCACCTAGAGAAATGCCTGAAATACTGTATGTATTTAATAAATATTGAATCTGTTGTTTTTCCTTCCTAATTTTACATAAAATCTGTGCATTTCTCTATGCCTCATCAGTAGAA